CTCTCTCTCTCTCTCTCTCTCTCTATTTCTCTCTCTCTCTCTCCCTCCCATCGTGTGTGTGTGTGTGTGTGTGTGTGTGTGTGTGTGTGTGTATAGCAGTGAGTGGGTGGGAAGGAAAGGGAGGCTGGCCTTGGTTTCTTCCAGGCCTCTTCTGTAGAACACTTCCAGCTTCCAAGCCTCGAAAGAAGCCACTTTAAAGAATTCAGCCTCAACCATTGCACAGCATTCCTTCCACCTCGTACTTCCAAGTTCTCTACACCACCTTCAGGGGCAACAGGCTCGTACACGCATGCGCACACACACCTCATACACTGCTGCCGCTGCCTTTTACCCTGTGTCTGATCTAGTTTCCAATCGCTTCTTTAAAACGTAAAGGTTCTGGCTCGTTCTTAGGTCCTCCTTGCTTTTGTGCAGCGGTTCTCAGCCCAGTTCTGCTTCCTGCCCTTTGTCATGTGGGCCGCTCCTGCCGGGTACCTTTTGTGCCTGCTTGAACTACCCATCTCCTTCTGCATTTTCCCGAGACCAGTTCAGTAGCCCACCTTTTCCTTCAGCTTTTGTTGCGTGGCTCCTGCCCTTCTCCCTCTAATTTCAGACTTCCTGGTGTGAAAAGAAAGGTGAGTGACCTCTATGTAGCACCTTGACTCTTACGGTAGCTTCCCACCCACGCTCTGGCAACTCTGCCTCAAAAGTGACAGCCCCGGAAAGTGGGCAGGATAACCCCCTGACCTCCCTCATGCTAGGCAATCAGCTGGTAGGTGGAAAGAATATTTACAGACTACCTCTTCGCAGTCTTCCCTGGTGGAGCTCTGGAAACACAGGACACCAGACTGTACTTAACAGGACAGCATTTATGGAGGGAATCTTGGGGAGCCGCCAGTTTCCACTGCTAGGCTGAGCTTTTGTAGGCTCCCACCAGCTCCTTTCTCTGAGCTGGTACCCTCACATCCAGTATACACAGCAGTAGAGGGGTGTGTGTGTGTGTGTGTGTGTGTGTTTATGTGTGGGGGTATACAGTGTCATGCTGCACATGCAGAGGTTAGAAAACAATTTAAGGGAGTCAGTTCTTTCCTTCACCTTGTGGATTCTGGGGATCAAATACAGGTTGTGGGGTTCAGCAATAGTACCCTTACCATTCTGTCACGCCTCACTTCAGAGGTTGTCTGGCCATCTTAGAGCTGCATATCTGGGAGAAGAGGAAATAAAGAGGAGGAAGGGGAGTGGGAAGCGGTCTCTCCTCCCTTGGGAAAGCAAAACTTGCCTAGAACTCCAACCAAGTTTCTACCTGCACAGGCTGTACCAGACACGCGGCTACCTTCTGACGGAAGGGAGACCAGGAATGCACTTGTTACCCTGAGTGCAGTGGAAGCTCCGATAGTTTCAAAACACCATTGATAAGGAATGAGGAAAGGACACAAATGTGTGGAATTCTTCAAGGCTGACTCCCTCGCAGGCTCTGGGAAGTTAAGGGCCTGTTTTCAAGCTCACACATCTCGGAGTCAAGCCTAGTGCTTGGCAGACAATGGCTGTGCTGAGAATGGGTGTTCCTTGGGGGATGAGCAGGTGCATGAGTGAGGGAGTGAATAAATGAACGCTGAAGTCCCCACGACCGTGACTCCAGAGCTCTGGCAGGCATAGCCAACCTTTTCATATTACACTTCATCTTCAGAGTCCACACGTGAGGACCGTGCCATTGAGTCACATTAAAAAAAAAATCAAAGGGGAAAAAATCTCATAATTCCTTATGTTTGTGATTTGTGTTGAGCCACACTCATAGCTAGGTTGGCCACCTGCGTGGCCTCGGAGGGGGGACCCTGACATCCTCCGCCCACTCTTCTCCACGCGGAGCATCTGACTTTTCACTGTGTCCCATCCTGGCTTCTCTGTAAAAGGCCTGATAGCCCCTAATACATACTGTCAGGCTAAATCAGAGCTCAGCACTTAGTTCTGACTGATCGGAGACCTAGCCTCCATGTTTCAGCTCTTAAATGGCTAATTATGAAACATTTCAAACTCCCCAACATTGATAGATACATAACGTGCATACTGACCCAGGTTCAAGCATGTTCTTTTGTAACAGCGGTCTGGAATGCAGATTTTAATGAAGGTGTTTATTGCCAGATGCATATCATTTTGAAGAAACAGTTTTATATCTTTTAGTAGAAAAAAAAAATCTGCAGTTTGTTTTCAAAATCCCAGCTTCACAAATGCTATAAATTTGATAAACAGATAGAAGTATGAAAATTACTCTTAGTTGAATAGGTTTTTCAATAACTAAAGTGGATTTCCTTCTTAATGAAGAAACTGGGGCTCCAAGATCAAATCAAGAAATTCTACATTTTAGGTTGTTTCTGCTTGAACTGACTGTCCAGGAGCTGCTTCCCTGGGCTTCACTAGCCAGGACAGTGGCAGGGGGCCCTGGGTTGGGGATGTTGGGATGATGTCCTTCTTCTCTCTGGACGAGGGTGTCTCAAGACACAGAGTGAGAGATGAGACTTTTCTGTATACATAATAGAAGCAGCAACAGTGTTCACTTGTCCCATGAACCTAACCTCTAGAAGCACAACGTTAAGAAATACGTAGAATTTACTTGGAGAACGCCACCCTTTAGGATGTGCTTGTGTCTTGAGCTTCCTCCTCCTCTTCGCCATCCTCCCCTCCTCCTCGTCCTCCTCTTTCCAGCTCTCTCCTTCTCTCCGTCTTCTTTTTGAGACGGGGTCTCATTTAGTCCTGGATGGCCTGTATTCACTAGGTAGCCAAGGATGACTTTGAACTTCTGATCCTCCTGCCTCCACCTCCCAAGTGTTGGAATTACAGTCTTGTACCAGCACATCTGGTTTGTGCTGGGCTGAGGGTAGAACCCAGGGCCTCATATTTGCTGGACAAGCCTTCGACCAACTGACTACAGCCCCAATCCCCCTATTTTTCCTCCTTACAGTAAGAACAAAAATAGTCAAGTGGAACATAATGGCGCGCACCTATAATCCCTACACTTCACAAGTTCGAGGCGAGCCTAGGATATAGAATATGAGCCTGTCTCAAAACCACAACACAACAACAACATAATGAAATGAAGATCATATCCCTTTTCATTGTGGCTGTGAAGGGAGGAGAACGGGGGTTAACCCAGCCACCATCTCACGGTGTCACACGGATTTCTGTTTGTTTTTACAGCCAGAGCAGCTACAGCTACTCACGTCACATGACCCCACAGGTGAGAGCAAGGTGTGAGAAGGGTCATCTAGACGGCGACCGTCAAGGAGTTTCGGGGTCAGTGATGGCTTTCGCAGGAACATCCTGACAGGATGGCTTAAGTGGAGGATTGTGAATTCTCAGCACAAACATGTGGTGTCAGCGTGAAAGTGATGTATGCAGGTTTAGACACACTTTAGCCTAAAGAGGGCAGTGCTTTTGGCATGCTGATAGAAGCGAGACCTGGCCCAGGGGCTCTGAAGTATTAGCGAGGTCTTGAATCTGTCACTGTCGCTTCTTGTGACTTTGTACTAGTCATCTGAGTCTTCTCATCTGCGAAGCGGAGTCTTGAACTAATCCCTGGGGGCTGTTCACACTCCAGCTTGGTGACTGAGATGCATCAAAGCCCACGTGATCTGGGAGAGAATGAGCCTTCGCAGCTACCCCAACTCTGCCTCCGTGCCCTGTACTCATTGCCTTGCGTCTCTCTGGGTAGAATGCCTCCAACCCAGAACCTTCCCTGGCCCTTGGGAGAAATGGAGTCAGGAGCCTCAGGACAGCTATCACGTCACCACGTCTCGAACGATAAGGAAGCTGTCCACAAAGTCAAGGCAGTGTGCCTCAGCATCATAGATGCCTCCAGGAGCCTGAGGACAAGTGCGGGCTTGCTTAGGGAAGCTATTGCTGTGGTCCCCCACTGGAACCACATTATCATTCAGGTGTTGAGGGAAGGTGTAAACTCCAGTCGACTAGTTCACGTGACCTCTGAGATTTATTCCCAGCGACAGGCCATTAAGCTTCCTTCCCTTTTATTTTTTTTCCTCAGATTTCTTTCTAGCTCCATTGTTATGAACTGCAAACATCTATGGTTTGGCCAGGGACTCGGTCATAAATCTGCATTTAATAAACTGTCAAAAGATCATCATTCTAGGGACAGTTCATGTTCCCTTCCTTGTCTCCTTTTATATGGGTCTTTGGTACTGAGATCTGCATAAAAGCCACGAGCCATCCAAACGGTCATTTCCCCCACACAAATATTGTTGGTAGGAAGCTGACCCCGGAACTATGTGCATCATCAGAACCCATAGGCCCTGTGGCTCTGTGACTGTAATGGATGAAGGGGCCTGAACTCCAGGCTTAGCCACGACCAGATCTTCTAATGGACAAATCTGCTCATAGGAGTCTCAGTCGCTTCATCTGTAGACAGAAAATCCTGTCCTTTGTCGTGTACACTTCCCGGGGACACTCTGGGGATGGCGGTCAGGAGAGGACAAGATGAGAACCGCTAAGCTGTGTGCTTCTGGGAACACTTGAGACGGCCTTGTTAGCACTGGACTTCCAGCATGATACAAGGGGGGGGGCATCTTAAACATTCTTCCCTTTACAGGAGAAAAGTCCGAGCCAGTACCAAATGGTCATCTGCCTTTCCCAGTGTCCTCCAAGGAAGCCACACTGCTCCCCCAAACCTCACCCGCTCAAACTTGGAAGAAACTTCGGGAAGGAGGGCTCTCTGGCATCTCCTGGGAACCCTCCCACGACGGGCAGCTTGGTTAAAGAGGTTCTACAAACCTTGTCTTTGGTAGGAGTCACCAAGACATCATACCCCTCTCTCCAGCTTTAAGCACCTTGAAGCCATAGGGCAGGCACTTGGGAATAATACTTGAATGTGTTCCAAATTCATATCGGGGACTGGGGCTCTGGCTAAACACCAGACAAGGCTACAAATGGCTGAAAGGCCACTATCCTACCTTGGCATCCCTCTTCGAAGGCAGTAAGACTATTCTAATTTTTTAAATATTTTTATGGTTTATTTAACTTTATTTTATGTGCATTGGTGTGAAGGTGTCAGACCCCCTGCAACTGGATCTTCAGACAGTTGTGAGCTGCCATGTGGGTGCTGGGAATTGAACCCGGGTCCTCTGGAAGAGCAGTCAGTACTTTTAACCACTGAGCCATCTCTCCAGCCCCAGTAAGACTATTCTAAAAGATGGAAGCTCCTTCCTGGAACTCACCCTGAGAGCATCAACAGCTCACTCCCTACAACTGAGGAGCAGAAGAGAAGGTTTAGACAATTAGTGTGTAAACAAGACACACGAAACCCTCTGTATAAACTTCTATCTCCAGGTCCTTATAAATTCGTCTGACTTTGTAAACAGCAGTCATATAAGAACTTCCCCCAGTAAATAGGAAGGCAGACATGCACAGGCCTTTCTGAGTGCCTGCTTCTGTCTACTTGCATCTTATAAAAAGACTGTGTGCTCAGGCTCCCCCTTGACTCTTCCATAATCTTATCCAGAAAAACGAGAACAAGTCATACTTGCTGGCTTTCCAGTCGCTTATTTCTGCTGTCCCCATGAGACAAGAATGGGAAACTGACCAGGACCCCCACTTCCACATCCTAGTGCCCCCCCCTTACCATGCCTGGGCCATAGGTCAGCGAGAGCTTAATAAAAAGAGACACAATTTCTGAAAATTGCCTCCCTCATAAAGTTAAGTCAAAGACTGAGTGACCAACATGAATTTCAGCCCATTCCCTGGTTCCAGCCAATCCTTAAAAGCTCCGTTCCTAGTCCTCCATTCCTGCCCATCCCTCCTGCCCAGATGCCTGACATGCAGACCTCTGGCTGCAGCACCCGGCATGGAACTAACAACCTCACACAGGCTGACCGGTGTCCACAATTAGATGAGGTCAACCCCACTGACCCCCTTTAATCGTGTATCAGAGTAAATTTATTTCTCAAACTGAACCACAGATGACAAAAGAGGGGACAGATCAGAGGGAAACAAGGATGTCTCCTGCAGAGACTGAGGGGGGACAGACTAGGTGCAGGGTCATAGGGGAAGCCAAGTTGTCAGGCTCAAGACCCAGAGGCACCCTGGGGCTTCCACATACGGGCTACCTGGGTTCCTTAGGAAACTGCTGATCTCAGAACCTAGAACCCAGCTACTCGAGAAGCAGGCGGTGGAGCTGGATGGAGAGATAGCTCCATGGTTTGGAGCACATACTGTTCTTGCAGAGGACTCCAGTCCCATTCCCAGCATGCAGCTGCCTGTAATTTCAGCTCCAGGGGTATCCAATGCTCTGGCCTCTGTGGTCATCTGGGCTCTTGTGTGCACACTTGTTGCAGAATATTGGTTTAACTCTGCAAAGCTGTGTTGCATTTGCTTAGTTATGTAAGATGTACTGCCGTTCTACCTTGCCTGTCTAAGACACCTGACTGGCTTAATAAAAAGCTGAACAGCCAATAGTGAGAGGGGGGGTATAGGCAGGACTTCTGGGCAGGGAGAGTAAATGGGAGGAGGGCTTTAGGCTCAGAAAAGGAGAAAAGGAAAAGAGATGCCAGGGAGATACCAGGGGCCAGACAGACAGACATGGAGGAAGCAAGAAAGTAGAACATACAGAATG